CATGAAAATCATCACAGTGACACAATTCTGTCATTCACTCAAACTGATAGTAGGAACTATATAACTATGAACATATGCACCCCCAGGATGCTTTGCAAAGGCTTTTGTTCCGCAACAAATAGTATAAGATGGAGGTGGCTATTAAAAATTGGTAAAAACGAACCATTATCGTCCTTGTCCTCAAGTGTCACCCGCATTCCTCTCTGGACTGGCTTTCTTTTTGGGGTACTTTGCTCGGCTTGCACTTCGCTAAACAATGAACGTTAACAAACCTTCGTAAAACGGTAACTGGTCAAGTCACCCACTTTGGACTAAGAACCGTAAGCTGCGCTTGTGGCAGCCTCAGATGTCTGTGTGTGTATAGTGAAATCTCTATTGCAAACTCTTTTGGTGAGCAGTTGTGTGGCAACGTAGCTGGATCCCATTGGAAATAACCTTCATAAACGAGCTGAACATAGAATGTTTTAAACAAACATATAATTGCAAAAAAAAATGCAACACACCACTGAAACTTCCTTATTATCATCTATATAACATCCCTTGCATATGTACACGTCGAAGAGTCCTTTCTCATATGCATGGCAAAATGTATAGCAGCAATCCGTATTTGGAAGATTGTAGACAAGAACCGGGCCATTTGCTTGCAGACACTGGACAATCACTGCCGGAAAGTACTTGTGCGGAACCGCATTCGCAATTAGCACATCGATGCTAGGCTCCTCATCCTTAGATGAGCCTTCAAACTCGCTCTTCAGGCGCCTACCAGGAGTTGCATTGGAACTACCACCTGAAAGATTTTTCGGACACCAGCAACAGCGCAGGTCAACTTCATAAACTTCGCACATTTTTTTCCCTGAAATGAAAGCGGCATACAATCCACGAAACTTGAGAAGAAAACTTAATGGTCGGAAATTAGGATGACAATGAGGTGAAAGAATATACATTTGTTTAAGTCTTTTTAAAACGAATGTTCGAAGATAACGCATTTCACCTATGGAATGGTTAGCATTCCTAACGAATATAGAACATGTAAGTTTTGTAAATTAAAACCATGGAAAAAACCCTGCAATGCAAACAAAGTCAGCACATAG